ATTTTGCACGTCACGCCTGCGGGGTCCCCTTGCGCGTACGCACGCACTTTGCCTAAAATTTTAGGCGCCCGTCTGGCGACTTAAATCGACTCGAAAGACAACGCCCTCAACTTGCCCGAGGTGCGTCAACTTACTGTCACGTGTGGGCGATGTCTGCTAAGATCGATGAAAAATCCAGTTAATCGTAACACTAGCCCGCGACCGGGCTAGCCCTGGACGAGTAGAATGCTATCAGAGCATGCAAGTGTAACATATCACAGACTGAACAGGTTGTTCGAGTGAAGTGTAGGGCACAGAGGCAGGATCTAGGATGGGTATGGCGCGATGGAGTGTCAGTGAAGACGCCGGTGTCCCCTTCCATTCTCAGTCGTTGACCCACGTCGCTGCAGTTATCGTCAGTTTTGTTCGTTTTATATTCTCTCTTACTAAATGTCAGCATCCCCACGCCCTTCCCCCACAGCTGCCTCCAGCGCTGCACTTCCTATCGATGGTCTAACTGACACAACAAAACACTCCCCACTTCAGAGGAGACTGTAGTGCATGTACAACCCTTTTCTGTATTACCTTGTATCTTTATTACTCGTATACACAATTAACGTCTTCTTATGTTTACACTTCTTTTATGGTCTAAGCATGTGTGTTGAACGCGTAACTCACCAAACCTGTGCAGTATTCTTACGGACGAGGAATCGACAGCAGGTACCTAATACCGGAGAGTGGGCCAACCTCTACGTCGTCGGCCGCTATACCCAAGGTTATAACAGGCTTGTAGTCGACTGACTCCATAAAATCATCCGACGCGACAAAATCGACCGACTTCATGAGACGTACAGCTAGGTAGCTTGACGGGTATAAAAAAATATGTGATTTCTGAAGCTGCTGGTTGACCACATGTCCACCTTACTCCAACGTTTCGTTTCCGCTTACCTCAAGAACCAGGGTGCACCCTGGTCATGTCTATCCCCGTCCTTCCCGACTCCTGGTACAGACATCGACGATCTGACATGATTTTGTGTCTTAATTTTCCAAAAAAAATCACGAAAATAAACAAAAGCTAAATGTTAGGGTTATTTTAACGACCGGGTCTTGGTAAATGGTAAACATTGGAGTTTAAACAAATATGGTTTATGGAAGGCCGCGAAAATCGTCATATTTTAAATCTGACGTTCTAACTAGACCAGCTGATCTTATATGGACTTGTATACAAGTGCAGTTGGAAATAGTCATGATCATTGAGAATTTGTAAACGAGCAATAATGAGGCCGCTGACTACCTCAATCATTCAGTAAAGAGAATCGATCATAAGAATGCCAAAAGGCTAAATTACACACCCATTGAGAAAGATCAGGATGCCAACAACGATGCCCCGTAAGCGGTCGGCGCACCACACGTTGCAAATATACAATCACAACACCTAAAAAAACAAACAGAATAGTAGGATGAAAAAACAAACTCCACACCAAGTAGAACGAGAAAAAAGATATTGCAACCAAGTAGTTAAATCTTACTCAGTTGTGCATAATAAAGAGAGATTTTTAGAAATATTCATTACAGAACCATTTGCTAATTTTCTAGTTACAAGAGCGTTAGTAAAAAAACTTGACGCCGGTTCATCTTTATTAATTTATAGATTCGGAGATTTTATGAAATATTAAGCTCATTAGCGTCATACAAGTGGCGTAAATGTCTATTTCAAACGGTGCAAATGACCTTTGAGACGGTTTTTACCAAAAACGGTCGTCTGGACTAACTGTGTTTGCAGTCTAGAAGTTCTGATTACGAAGTGGGGATCACCTCGTGAGGTAGTGTTTGGTAAAAGTTGCCGAAACCCCGGACAAAAATCGCCTTTTAATTTTTAAAGTATCTTTAAACTTTACCGACGTTACTAGAAGTTGTCTAGGGAGTGAAAATAATTACGTTCAACCTATAGCTGGACAATATCAGTCTCATTTAAATTCGTTTTATTAGAGTAAAATTCAATTTTGCAACTTCGAACTCCCTATCCGCCGCAGTTACAGTACATATATTTAAAGATCGGAAAATAAAACATCGAACGACGGACTTGTACAACAGCCTTGAAAACCCATGCATTTTTAAAGAACATCATCTTTTTCATTTACTGACTTGGAATACATACCATCCCAGTTCGACATACATGTACATCTGCATATTTAACAACAAATACGCCCTATGTAGAAAGTGGGAAAATGAACTAACAAGGTTTCGATGCTGCTTTGAATCACGTCGTCCTCAGACAATGAGTTAATGTGTCCAAATACTGGTTTGTGAGTAGCACGCTGCCCATTTTATGTACAACTTTGCTACAGACGAAACAGCAAGCTGTCAGCTATATTCAAACGTCAGGAATTATGTGCAGTGATTTAAAGAGGGTAAGAAATTTCGATTTTATCTTATATTTTGTAGTTGAAGGTTCGCAGACATAACCCTTGATGACCCTATTTATGCATATTGATTTCGCGATTTCCCACTCAAAATAAAGTGGCAAGCATGTTAACTGTTGTCGGCTCACAAAACAACATCAATAAAAAACAATCGCATCCGTACAGTTTGTTTCCGGACAAAAAGATTATGGAGGACAAAGCTGGTTTCACAAAGCTGGTTGTTAGGGATCATGTTGCAAAAGAATATTCCTGTAAAAAATACGCGACCAAATTTTCTCTTAAGCGTCTAAATTGTGTCCGTCGTCACCATCTCACTTCGTAGTGAGTTCCATGGCTGGAAAACCTGCTGGCTGAAGGAGTTCTTCCCACGATGAAGTCGCGTGTGTTCACTCTTGAATTTGTAGGGATGAACAGGTAATCGAATTTTAGTGGCAAATTCAGAGACGTCCTACGGTCCCAACGAGCAACCATAACATCTGACAATCTGGAATGGCCAAAGTAGGCAGCAGCTTCAGTTTAGTAAAGTTTATTTGGCAAGGATGATAAACAAGGCCTTTTGAAACCCCTGATGATTAGACACCAGTCCGTTAGATACAACTGTACACGAATAATGGAAATCGT